ATTAAAAAGGCAACTCTAAGAAAAGAGTAAACCTTTGATTCGTAAAACTCATAGTTATTTTGTCCTTGTCTTGACTAACCTTCAAGACATAGGACGCTCGGGTCGGGTCGAGGGTACGATCCGTCGGAGATCTCGTCTTTTCGGGATTTTGATGTAAGAGCTCTTTGGGAGCGAAGCACGCGTCAAAGGTATAATTCTTGTTCTTAATCTTGTTTGATTAAGTTTATTATGCTTGTTTAATTTCTTTAATTAAGGGGCGGGTCTTGGTGGGTTTCCTTCCGCGTAGTGTCGGGTCACTACGAAACCCTACACATCCGCCTAATTATTCTCTGACCATGGCACCTGACTTAGATGAAATTTATCAAGATTCCCAGCCTCTTCTTTGACCACCCGCAAATACTTGCTTATGGCCGGATGGGTGGCTTCATAGTCACCATGGTACTGGCTAACGATCAATTGTGAATCAGAGCAAGCGTCAATCTTTCTTGCCCCTACTGCCTTGCACATGCGGATGCCGGCTAGCAGGGCTTCATATTCCGCCTCATTATTTGAGGCCTAGAACTTGAATTGTAGTGCATATTCATACTTGTCCCCTTCATGGACTGGCATATAATCCCTGCACCACAGCCGTTCATAGTAGAGCTCCGATCCCATCCACATACACTTTCCAAACCTGGTCAAGGTTCTCCGGTTCCACCGGCCTTGTCATTTTGACAATGAAGTCAACAAACGCCTAACCCTTCACTGCCTTTCTTGGTTCGAAAGAGATTTAAAGACTTTGCATTTCAATAACCCATTTGAGCATCCTACCGGATGACTTCAAGGTTGTCATTGGCCGCTTGAGGGGTTGGTCTGTGTAGACCACATGTGCCAAGAAGTAAGACTTCAACTTCTTTATCGCCATGAAAAGAGCAAGGCTAAATTTTTTAACTATTGGGTACCGTAGCTCAGCATTTCGAAGAACATGGCTGATGAAATTGACTGGGAGCTAGGTGTCGTCTCTTTCAGCAAGGAGAACAGCACTAAGAGCATGGTCTAAGACGGCTAAGTACATGTAGAGCGCCTCCTTTGGCAGAGGGCTAACAAGCCTTGGCAAGGAGTGCAAGTGTTCTATCAATTTCTGAAAGGCCGACTCAGCATAATCCCCCCATTAAAACATAGTCTTCTTTTTTATAGCTTGGAAAAAATAGAGGCACTTGTCACCTGACCGCTAAGGAATCTCCCCAATGCCGCCAGACAACCTATTAGCTTCTGAACTTCATTGACAGTGAGAGGTGACTTCATGTCAATGACCGCTTGTATCTTCTCAGGGTTGGCCTTTATCCCCCTTTGATCAATCAAAAATCTAAGAAACTTCCCAGACTCAACACCAAAGACACACTTCTTGGGATTGAGCATGACCTTATGCCGCCTGAGTGTGGTGAAGGTGTCTCGGAGCTCAGCAAGGTAATTTGCCTGTAGCTTGGATTTTACTATCATGTCATCAATGTACGCCTCTACATTCCTCCCAATTTGATTAATGAAGACTGTATTAATCATTCATTGGAAAGTAGCAAGCGCATTTTTCAAGCCAAACGGCATCACAGTATAGCAGAACAACCCCTAATCAGTGACGAAAGCCGTCTTCTCTTGATCTTTTTTCCACAAGGGTATCTGATGAAAGCCTAAATAGGCTTCCATAAAGCTCATCAAAGCATATCCGGCTGGAGAGTCGACCAGACTGTCGATCTTTGGAAGTGGAAAACTATCCTTCGGACATGCCTTATTCATGTCAGTGTAATCAACACACATGCACCAGGTACTATTCGGCTATTTTACAAGCACAACATTCGCAACCCAATTTGGGAAGTAACATTGCCGAATGAACCTGACGTATAACAGATTTTTTACTTCGGCTCTTCCCGCCTGACTTCTTTCCTAGTCGTGGTTTCTTTTTTTTGGCCTAACTGGCTTCTTTTTAGGATCCACGGCGAGCTTGTGGACAGCTAGATTTGGGCTGATGTCTAGCCTCTCCTCCACTTCAAAGGCAAATATGTCTTTGATTTCTTTCAACAAATTGTGCGATTTTGCACCCGATTTCGCAAAAGCAACCGTCCCCACCATAACAGTGCTCTACGGACGTGTGTCGTCCAAAGCAATATCAATGTATTCACCAGCCGACTGGAGACGTAGTTCATCCGACCGTTCTTGGGTCAGTGATTGCTATTGCTTTTCTTTTTTTAAGGCCAACAGTTGGTTGGCCTTTCTTCTCTTGCCGGCTGCTGTTGGAGTACGCTAGGATTCCTTGACATCGTCAAGGTCTAATGGTTCCTCACTTTGGTCGGATGTGGCCAGTGTGGGCTTGACGTCTGAGAGATAGCACTCTCTAGTCATCTTCTGGTCCCCATTCAGGGAGCCAACAGACCCATCATCCTTCTCAAATTTCAACAGCATGAGGGATGGGGTGATGACGGCCTTGGATTCATTAAGAGTTAAACGGCCCAATATCATATTATAGGCGGTCAGCTCCTCCACGACCAAGAACCGAACGACCATGTGGCGTCCCTCTCCTTTCTCCCCCAGCCGAATGAGTAGGTTAATCCGTCCTACCGGGTGCACAACCCCACCCCAAACCAACCAAGGGATGAGACACCTTGTGCATGCTGCCAAGCTTGTACTTCAGTTGTGACAAGTACTTATGGCTGATGAGGTCAGACTATCTTCCGGTGTCAATAAGGATCCGGCCTACCTTCTGGTTGGCCACTTTGCACTCAATGACAATTGGGTCATCATGCGGTCGCTGGACCTTGCCCCTGTCTTTTTCAATGATGATGACCTCAGGAAAGGTGTCAGTAGACGCCTGGCCCTCATCAACTAAACTGACGTCCAATCGTCTAACATGGTCCTTGGGACCCCTGATTGTTGGGCCCTCTCCAGCAAAGCCGCCTGCTATTGTGTAGATCGGCTCTTGGTCAATGTCCGAACTACTAGCAGGTTGGGCATTCTTTTTGGAAGACTGCCCAGGGGTTGTCTTCAGGGTCACCTTAAACTTTAGAATATAAGACTTCAGCACCTCTTTATCAGCCAGACGGTCTAACAGCCGCTTGAGACTATAGTAGTCGTTGGTTTCATGGCCAATGTCCTCAAGGAAATGGCAGTACTTGTTTTTGTTCCATAGTTTTTACGGAACCTTTCATAGCAACCAGCTTCTCAATAGTCACCCGGTCTTTTATCTCAATGAGGATGGAGTAGCCATCCTTGTTAAACTCGTACTTTTGGAACGTACAGTTTAAACTCTTTATTTTTCTTCTGGGACGGCTGATCAGAGTCATCAACCGCCCAGATCTCTTTTCTTTTTTTATTCTCTTCAACTTTCTTAGCCGGCTGAGCTTGTCGACTCTCTTTTTTGTCAGTCTTCTCGGAGTCCGACTGCTTACTGATGGAGCAGAGCTCAGTCGCCTGTATATAGGCTTCCGCCTCCATCAGCGCTTCTAAGAGGGTTGCAACCCTCTTTCTGACGAGATCAAATTTAAAAGTCGACCCGTCCTTCAGACCCTTACAGAAGTTTGTATAAGCTACCTCGTCAGACAGCCCTTGAATCTGGATTCTCACCAGAATTGAACCACCTGACAAATGACCGAAGCCCTTCTCTATCCCCTTCCTGCACTGCACCCAAGTTAAGACTTGTCTTTTTAGCAGGGATATTGGAAGAGAAGTGGAAGAAAACAAGAACGCAAGCGTCTTGAAGCTGTTGATGCAGCCGACTCGCTTATTGCCGAACCATTGTTGGGCAATGCCCTTCAATGTAGCCGGGAAGCATCGGCACTAAGCGGCGTCATCCAACCCCTACAAGTACATCAGGTTGGTGTAGGCCATGAGGTGGTCTTCTAGGTTGGTGGTACCATCATAAGTACCCACCAAAACATTTTTAACCTTGGTCGGCTGTGCGGCCTCAGTTATTTTCGTAGAGAACACAGAAGGTTATTCTCAGACAGAGCTGCCAGTCCAAAGGTTAGATGTTTTGTGCCGCCTAACCCCCAAAGAGGGTCGGTTGCATGTAAGGCTGTCCATACGGCATGTATGGCTGCTGGGGCACATACGGAACCAAATGGATCATCTGAGGGCCAGTGTGGACGGACGGGCCGCTTGACTGACTCTCTCGTGCATATTGAGAATACCTCATTGAGGTATTCTGGAAGATGTCTGGGTATGTCGATGTTTAAGCCGACTAAGACAGTTGCTGGTTTAGTGTAATTTTTTGCCCTCTAAATATCGGTAATACATAACCTACCCACCCCCTAGTGTAATTTTTTCAAAGATTAAAGAAATTTATTCTTCTCAGAGTCCTCAACGTTATTTTTTTCTCTCTCCTCTCTCTCGTTTTCCTATACCGACTTTTAGATTGAAGTTTTTTTTCTTTTAATAATCAAATGCAAATTCCTTGTAAGTTCATGAATTTGTATAATTTCTCTTTTTTATAAAAAGTTCCATTCGAATTTTAATTATGAATCTACTGCAAATTTCTGACCTTTGATAATACTTTGCATATTAAGTGTTTTTTACGATCATTTGTTTGAAATTCCAACAAAAATATTATATCTGATATTCAATTATTTAACAAAAAAAAAAATTAATACTACAATTTTTTTAAATACATTAAACTAATTGTATGAATTGAGATGAAAATCGTATTTTCAATTTTTGTTTTGCTATTTTCTTGTTAAAATAAATACGTCTGAATCTGATTTGCATATAATGTGAAAATTGTTTGATGTTGATCCAATTCCAAATTGATAAGGCAAACAATTTCTTCAATATTTTTGCCAAACATATGAAAATTTAGTCCTGAAATATTGCCCCTCATGAATTAGTCTCCTGTAAATATTCTCTGATAAAATCTACCCCCTATTAGCTACCTGAATTCAGGTGAGCCCCAAAGCTTCATTGCTCTTTTAAAAAAGTGTTTCATTTTGCTGCCATTGTTGTTCTTAATTATATTTAGTAATAAGTAATAAAAAAAATGAAGAGAACAAAGCATAACATTCCATTGGTTTTAAAAAAGATGTTAACTTGTCCATTAGTAAATTAAAAATACATACATATCATAGCATTGAGAAGAGTTAACTTTCTTACAAGCAATAATAGATGAACCAGCAAGGTTCAACCCTCTAACACAGATCGGCTTCACTTGATAATTTAGCTGTGGCAGGAAGGTCTTCTTAGCACATCTCTTTCTCTTAATTATAAGTAAAGTACAAACAAAAGCATCAGTGAGCCTGCAGATTTTGATTGATGTAAAATTACGAAAAGGGGAGGATAAACAAAGCATGGAGAAAATAGAGACAACAACAACAAAGCCTTAGTCCCAAAATGATTTGGGATCGGCTAACATGTATCGTCATAAGGAACCACGATATAAAGAAAGTGGCCAGTATATAGGGTACAACAATTTGTCACTATGGAGAAAATAGAGACAGTAAAATACCTCAAGTTTGGAATTCATGCCAAAGATGCAAGATGATGCACATATAGTAATGCCTTCATGATTTTTGTTACAGTCCAAAGGCAACTCTCTGCACAAAATCTGGACGCCTCTTTGTAGGCATTCGTAGTAGTCCAGTGACCTGGAGCTCTGAAACTGCCTTGCAGAAACGTGCTCTTTTGAAAACAAGGTTAAGGAAATCAAGCCAGAATCATTTCAATTTACTGGGATAAATTTCAGTGGGACTTCTTAGAGGCAGTAAGCACAAGACATTGAGAATTGAGATTAATTAAAAATGAAATGGAATCCAATATCAGGCTAGAAGAAGAAATTAGAAAGAATTGAAACCACATTATAAGCAATAGCATTATAGTTCACCAAAGCACCCAAAGCCCAAAAGACTTGAGTATTCCATCTTAAAGCATCATCAACATAAGTAATAATAAAGATAATTAAATTACAAATAAAGAAATCAAAGGATACTGAATGGCTGCTTCACTGAGGTTATTAATATCCTTCTTTTTCTTAGGAGTCGAAGAATGCTTAGACTTATTCCTAGCTTTTGTAGGTGGAGTTACAAGAATTGCCTTGAAAGATTGGAACCAATCATGAACATTAATGATATCACCATGCTCTTGAGCCAGAACATATCTTCACAAGAGAAAATAATATATTTCATTTAATGTTATTAGTAAATAAAGAAACTTTCATACTCTTGGAAATGACACGAACAACCGTTATGTCATCAAGACCAAATTCACACTCTAAAATGATGTACATAATAAGGAGAGAGGAGGCAGAGCTCTATTAGGAGTTCTCCTATTGAGAATGTGAGACAACAAGAGGTAACACAAAAGACTGTAACTTCACCTAATTTAAATAGCTTAGCAAAGCTTTAAGCAGATTCCAAGTTGTACAGATTTGTCAATGCCTTACCTCAGACATACAAAAGGTTGTTTCTCATAATATTAATGAAAAAGAAAAAGAAAAGCAAAAAGAATATAGCATAGACAAGGAAACACACTCAATAAAAGCAGTAGATCAAGAGCAGCACTAATAATTGGAATACTAGCAGAAATTAAAGAGGATGGAAATAAGAGAAAATATTACATTATCACGCCAGTATAAAAACGAGACAGAAACAATAACTTAATGTCAATATTGAATATAAGTCAGAACTACTTACAATATTGAAGTGTCATGAAGTGATGGCAGCAATCTGCTTCCCCTAGTGCTGCAACAGGTGCAGTGCAAATATTCATGGAACTCCAGCAGATCAGCTTGAATTCTTCTTCTAGGATCTCCCAGCAAGGCCTAACACAGATGAAAGTTGTAATGCTTAGGCAACTACAATAACAAATAGTTGTACACAAAGAATCACCTATCGATTGTCAACAGCCATTGATCCCTTGATCAGTCTAGAAAAAGATCAAATTGTTGCCTTGTAACAAAAATTAAAGTCCTATCCACTCAAGGGGACGGGCTATATCCCACTATGAACGAATAGATGCCCAAGCTAGATCCATTATCCAATCCCTTGACTTGAAGGGTGTGTTGGGTATTGCATCTTTAATCACAGCAACAATAACGTCACCGTAGAAAAAAGTCTATTTTAGAAAATTATTTCTTTTTTTCGATATTCTTTTCTCGAATATCTGTTGCTCTCCTATTCCTAATTCCCCAGAGCTGCCCACAGAACAGCCACCAGGCATCGATCACAGCATTACTTAACAGCAAAAAACTCTCAATTGAACAATCATATTTCTCCACAAAAGAACCCAAGGGGTCACCTTCCGCACAATGAAAGAGAATTCATGGAAGAGATGGCCATGAGAAAGTTATGGAAAGAGAGACGGAGAGACATAAATCAAAGGTTCAAAGAAGACAATAAAACATAACATGTGCCTGATGACTTCCTCCATGAGATTATTCTCCATCATGTATATGAGCTAAAAATTAAAAGCATAGTTAAGCACAAATGTCCAAGGGTATTAAGGATGTGAAATTATGAGCTTTGATGGAATAGATAAGACTTAGGAGTCCTTAGGATGACAAGACTTCATTAACCAGAAATAGGCCCAACTTCTATATTTGCATCATACATTTACAAAATCAACATTTCCCTACAGGGAACCTGCATTCATAAAATCCTTTTGGCAAGCATAAATAAATCAAAAATAAATACTTACTGTTTGAAGCTTTTCAACTATCTTAAAGCACAAGATTTCATGAAACGGAAAACTCTCAATGGGCTTCATCTGATCTCTGTGCAAACAAACATTTTTTCTAGGAATGTTAGTTTACTTACACAAAAACCTATCAAAGAAATATTTGTCAATCAATTACCAATTAAGACAGCGAGAAGAAGAGTAAATGAAACATTATTAAACAAAGAGCACTTATAAAAAGCTAAGTTTTTCAGATTAAACTTCACCAACTAATACAGAAGCAAACATATAAGATAAGGAAATAAACCCTAGAAAAAATAAAAGCTGTCTAGCAAAGGGATGATGATCATTACCGAAGCATCCATTCAATCAATGCAACAGCTTTACTGTTCCATAGTTTTGGATCTTTAGGTGCATCTGATTTTTGGGACCTGAAAAACAGATTATACAGAAAATTATGGCTCGTTACAATGGAAAGGATAATGGAACAGCTTTACTGTTCCAGATTAATATACTTTAATATGGTAGTGCCTAATGCCTCCAATATCCTAATATGAAAATGATTAGACGCAAACGGCCACCTAAACAAACAATGTAATAAACTATGAGCAACTGATCAAAAAAGTAAGAACAGTTAAAATATAACGACCAAAGCCTTATTCCCAAAAAGATGGGATCGGCTGCATGAACCTAGAATATATCTCATGTAGTCATCCACAAATACTCTTCATTACTTCTATCTATTGTCTTATACTCTTGCATATCCATTTTCTTTAAAGCATTTTTAACTTCCTTCATCAATCATCTTTGGTCTCCCTTGGCTTCTTTTGAAATCTATATTATCCCAACCTCCCACCCACAGATTTGCCAGTGCATCCTCATGTCAGCATGTCACAAGCCCAAACCAGACTGATTCTCTTGCATATCCATTTTCTTCAAATCTTTGGTCTCTTACAAGGGATCAGCCCAAGCCTAGTATCCGTTTCACTTATGCAAGAAGGCCCAAGAATACTAGCAATGGTTGAGAAGGGAAGTTTGTTAGAGAATCAGTTTAGGGGGAGAGGGTAAAGTAGTAATTCATGAATAAGTTAGTTACTAAGTTTGTTATTTTGATTCCTTTTGCTAGCTAATCTAGAGTTTGTTTGCTTGCTTCATTTTTGGTATTAATAGGAGTTTGGGGTCGAGGGGAATGCATGCAGAAATTTGTTAAGGAGTTTGTTTTGGAGAGCACCTTCCTCTCGAAAGAAGGCATCGTATTGTGAGTTACTCTGATTTGCAATACAAATATCCCTTGGCTGCCATTACTTCTTTTTATACAGTTTTGAATTCTCTGTTCTGTACTAAATCCTAGCATCGCCCTTGGCTTCTTTTGAAATATTTATCATCCCATCTTTCCATCAATTATGTCGACGTGTCACATGCCCAAACCAAAGTAATTGGTTCTCCTTCATCTTATCCTCGATATTCATAAATCTAACAATCCCTGAATATATACGATTTTACATCTATTCCTCACCCCAGGAATCAATTTCAATATAAGCATTGCTGGTTCCAACTTCCAAGCTCATATAGAGGATTGTGGTAGATTTGTGACTACCACAAACTCTATCACATCAATGATAATGAAATAGTTACATTAAGCTTAAAACAATAAGCACCTGACAAGATGCCTCACTCAGCATGTTCACATGTTCCTTTTTAGTGACCTATTTTCACACTATTATGATGCAGAAATTTGTTTTCACCAACTGGAAACAAGCTCCTATCGATACTTCAAAGATAGGATGATGTATAAATAAGACATGTTATTCAGGTTGAATTACATAAATAACAGTAATTCAAATGTCATATTGGAGTCGGTGATCTATTCTCTCTCTTGCCTATTTCCCATCTTATACTTAAGGGTAGTGGCTTAGTGGAGAAGAAATACTTCTGAAGAAACATAAGGGGTTATGGATTTAATCAACATGCAAATCCACATGGATACAAGTGCTACATTCTTCTCTCCGCAAACTGTTTGTCATTGGTGGGTAACTAAAACCAATTCCATACACACACTAGCGACATCAGAAAATTGTTCACATACCTTAGCTCAGATTCACCTAGGTCATGCCAATATGATATATATCAAAGATGCTTATCCTTATCTTGTGTCTATGACGCTATGACACAGGACACAGGGGACTCAAATAAAAGGAACTCAGACTCATAACTACATCAGATTTATTCAAGGTCATGCTAAAATATTATATATCAGAGATGATTGTCCTATTCTCGAGTCTATGACACTCAGACTCAAGTATACAGGGAATCGAATACAGAGGTCAGATAAAAGGTGCTATCTCAGTGAAAAAGTTGGGCATTTAGTGAGGATGATTACAGATCTCCTCACTCCTTTGCCCCTAATAATGAAAAATTCATGTTCCAAGTTGATTTCTACTTCATTTGAATTTTCATAAATAGGAGAAGTAGGACACTGCTTTTCTCAAGGTACTGCATCACTACTTCAGTGTACTGGCTGCATTTGTTCTCTCCCAACCTCTCCTCAGTATCCTGTAATTTTACCATTGAATGCCTAGAAAGTGCTATTTGCTACTCCAATTCATTACAGCTAAGAGCGCAGTAATTCCTTTTGACGAAAGATTCCAACTATAGCCCTTTTATTTTTTTTATTTTTTTGCCTAGATTTCAAATTTGCGTGAATAAGCAAAGTAGGAGCATATTATTGATGTTACTTGTACAATTTTCAGCAACACAAATGATTTATTTTGTAATAAAATCCCATCTTTACCTTATCTTATTGCTTCAATTCATGGGTTCTGAGCTACACTATTACTTTATAGATTAGCAAGTACATATTGTGAGGCAAGAGGAAGATGAGGAGATAATAGAGTAGAAGGAAGAGGAAGTGAAGATATGATGGAGAGTGGGTAGGAGAAAGAAATAAAAGAATGATGGAGGATGACAATCAATAATATAATTAATAAATTAAAACAATGCGTTGTACTAAAAAAAGTCTTATGAAGTACTTGTTTCTCAAAAAGAAAGGAATATATATCCCAGATACTCCCTCTGTGAGCTCTGTCCTACATAGTTGTATTCAGACAACTTTTCGAGCATCCCAAAATATTGTGCTCTTTTGTAAATCTTTCATATTTTGTCATATGATTTTGGACAATTATACCCTCATCAGCACATTATAATATCATGCACGCCCCATCTTTCTTCACAAAAATCCGTGTCATAATTATTAGAGGAGATGAGTTATTTTTGGCTTTTTCCTTTTTTCACACTGGGAAAAATAAAAAGATCAAATGTTTTACCTTTTTCATCAATGCTGATTTCATTTTTTGAATAACAAAAAATACAATTATAAATTAAAAATTTACAGGGCCAAAAAGGACATGAGAATGCACTATAATCTTGGAATCTCCCTATTCCTAAATTTCCCTGAAAAACTCAAAACAAGCACAGCTTTTTGGATAGAGGGAGTAGTATTTACATTAAATGAAAGAGAAAGTGAAACCCTAACCTTTGGTAGAGACTAGCAGGGTAGCAGGGGAGATAAGTAATAAAGAGTCATGGGTCATTGCCTTTTATAGAAATAGAATGGGCCAAGCAAATAAAAACAGAAAAGGGGACACTATTATGCGATGAATGGAGTATATACTACCTCCTTTTTATTTTTGTTCAACTCGCTTTCCAATTAGGTCCTATTTTCCAAATCGAATCCATTTTATTTCATTTTGTCAAGGGCCAAACAAACAAAAAAGAAAAGGGGACACTTATGGGGATGGATGGAGTACTTACCACCTACTCCTTTTATTTTTGTTTTACTCAGTTTTCAATCAAAAACTTTTTTCAAATCAGTTCCACTTTATTCCATTTTGGCAAACCCCCTTCATCTTATAGATCCTACCCGACAATAATTACACATTTCCACCCTCTCTTACTTTATATATCTTTTTTATTCGACTCACCCACCTTTGTATTCCATCTCTCTTACTTTATCCACCAGTATCTTACACCACTAACTTTTTAAAAACCTTTCTTAATCTACGTATCTATAGTGAATTAGTAATAGAAAACAAAACAAAAGGAATGAGATTGTTTTTTAAAAACAAATTTTGGTTATTGATACATTTTACTTAGTTTTATCTTTTAGTACCACCTTAAGTTTATCAACTCTTTAATTCAGTATCTTAACTCGGATTTTAAACAATTTATGGTGATGTCTTCGGGAAAGTTTTTTTGACAGGTGGCTTTAATTATACTGGTGTCATCTGAAGAGAATCAAGCTTCTAAATTACACTTATTTAGTTAGGATTCTTACGAAAATTGGGGAATTTATCAATTTAATTTAATTATTATAAAAATTAAGTCCAAATTTTAGTAAATAACTTCATATTGCACTCATTTTCACAATGTATATTATTGTTAGGTTAAAATGACTAATTTTTCATCATATTCAATATGTAAACTAAAGGTTCATATGCAAATTAGAATATTTTGAAAAAGAGTTATTTTCAAAGTTAAGTTCACTTACCTCACATTGAACCAAGGAAAAATGGAAACTAATAGTCCTACCTTTAGTAGGTCTTCCATAAACAATCCCACCTTTTGAAATTCTAGGATCAACCCACCTTTAATATGGATCCTCCATCAACGATCCCTAACCGGTTGGATTGTTTTGGTAAAAAAAAAAAAAAACCAAAACCAAAATCAAAACCACCAGCCCCGCCACTCTTAACGCTTTGTCCCCCACCCCTTCCCCTCCACATCACTGTCACAGACTCGCAGCCGCCTCCCTTCCCCGGCAACCCAACTCCGGCGTCCTTGCGACCAGAAAGCAGCGAGTGATTGATTCAATCATCCCCTCGCATCATCATCACCACGCGTCTTTCTTCTTCGCTACTGCACTTCATCATCACCACGCATCATCATTAACAATCCTCACCATCTTTCATCAATGGTTTAAGCTCAATCATGGCCGTTGGATCGATCAATCAAAACTGTCCAATTTCATTCTATCTCCTTAATTTCTGTTTTAATTTTTGTTTATTGTTTCGTTTTTAGTATTATCCCTGATTACATTCAAAATCATCTTTATAATGTGATTAATTTGTTTTAAAATCTGTTTTTATGGTTTGTAATTGAATGATTTGGGTTATTGTTGAATTCTTGTATGTTTATATGCCCATTCGTTTTTAAGGGTTTGTTGAATTTCTGGGATTTTCGTTTGGTGGGTGGGTTTGTTGAATCGTGGTGGAAGAAGTCATGGTTGGTGGGTGTGGGGTTTTCGGCCTTTAGGTGCTGCTGGAGGTTGCGTGGGTGTTAGGGGGTTGCTAGTGGAGGAGTGGAATGGTGTTTCTGGCTGGTGGGGTTGTGTGAGGGTTGCAGTTGGTGATGGCTGGGCGAGTGGTGGCCGGTGACAAGTGAGAGGAGTTGAGGAGGTGGTGGTGGTTTGGGTGGCAGTTCAGGTGGTAACCATGTAAGGGAGGTAGGAGAAGCTGAATTTAAAAAAAATAAAAAAAGTTAGACCGGTTTAACCGGTTATAGGTCAGAGGAATCGTTTATGGAAGATCCAGATTAAAGGTGGGATTATTTCTGGAATTTCAAAAGGTGGGATTGTTTATGGAAGACACACTAAAGGTAGGATTATTAGTTTCCATTTTTCCTTGAACTAATGTAGGCTAAATTGATGCCTTAATATGTTGAATTGCCTCATCAAACCATCTAACGACAACCAAAAATGGGATAATGACAACTAAAGAGGACGAAAATGATAAATAAAGAGGGAGAATGTAACAACTCAAAGAGAGTTAGTAAAAATGATGGGAAAAAAATCAGTTAGTAGGTCTCACATTTAAAAGGAATTCGAGTTAAGGAAGTGAAATCAAATAACTTTTAAGGTGGTCAAAAAACAAAAAACAATTTAGATGGTAGTAAAAGCCAAAGCATGGTATTTAAGAGGCAGTAAATATAAAAAATTAAAAATAAAAAAAAAATAAAAATAAATAAATAAATAAAAGGTGTGTTAATATTGTGTTCCCACACAGTTGGTAATTTGAAAGGTACTTAATAAAAGGAGAAGGAAAAAAAAAAAAAGGTCCCACCTAACAAGTTTAAAGCATACTCTCCTACCACATCAAACCTCCTACTTATCCACAAATGACCTCTTTCTCTCTCTCGCAATCAATGACCAACCACGCACAAACAACAATGGAAGTACGAGGAAGGTTGCCCCCTTCGGGCAAGTAATACCCTTTAAAGTTTCATCCAGGCCATCGCCTTGCTTTTGAGATCTAAGGTTTTTGAATGTAAACTCTAGATCTAGTAGACGTGTAGTGTTGAATATTTTTTTTAATTCAGTTTGATATCTCTTGGATGAATTATTTTCTCCCTTATAGGTCCCATATTCGGTTTCCACAACTAGTCAGGCCATGTTGACAACAGTACAGCTGAGCAACTGGCAAAGTCTACCTATCAGAGGTTTGTTGAGCCACCTAATAAAGCTGTTGATCGTTATCAGAAAAATAGAGGAGCGGAGAAGCTCAGTTAACAACAGCATAGACTAGGGACAGAATCTTACGAGGAATCATATATCAAATCGCTTCCTGAGCTCTTGCTATCCGCAGAATTCATCATAACTTGCAGCTCCTTGACTTTATCGCCAATCTATGATAATAAAATGATTCATGGAGATGGCGGAATCAGCTTCAATTTTAAAGCTCGAAATTAGAACAAGTGAACATTTAGTATATTTTATAAGTAAGAAAGCATCCATCAAAGAATTGTCATACACATGTCAAAAGATTATACAGAAAGACATTTAAAAACAGAGGCTGAAAGGGATGATTCATCAAATATCAGTTGGGCAAACTTACAAATAAATAATCAAAATTCCATGATAGTATGAGGCTATCCAATATATAACTGGAATCTGAGCATAACTCAAGCCTTAATGTTAGAAAAAAAAATGACAATCTGGAATGCTACATACAGCGCCTATACTTTATTTGACTTTTGCACCTACTAAATTATATTTACAAAATTGACTAAAGCAGTGCAAGAAAAACACGTCATGCTTGTCAGGCAGCTTGATTAGAATGGATGTTTGAAGGTATACTTCATTACAAGAAAAGATTGATACTTTTATGGAAAATGAGAAATCTTTCTTCCTTGTTAGTTCAGTCTATCTTCACACAGCAAAGTTCCTGAAGTTGGACCGTCCCAAGTGAAGAATAATTTACAAAGTCAATATTAGACACATCTCATAAGGAGAAGGAAAATACACAAACTGACAATTGCTAAATCTGCACAAAGACGGTTAACCTAACAAGTATAAAAAGTGAACCACCAATTGCAGTCAATTAAAGCCCAGAGAATCATTTTTTTAGCAAACTGGATGCTTTGATGAGTGTGAATAGCTCTAGAATAGAAGACAGGATTCAACTTTGGTTCACAACTTTGTGACATTATCTGCAACGAACTATGAGGTGCAGCCTCAAGGTATCATCACTTATGAAAGGAGGCACAAAAAAAGGAAGGCAGACCGTTGGGGCAAGAGGAGTGGAGCAGCAGCAGCACATCAGTCACTTAGCAACAAATGACTGCTGCAGGGGTTAGGTGTACCTGTGCCAGACCTTGGCTTTTTGCGCTAGCCTAGCTGGCCTTTTTGCTGATTGTAATTAGCTGTGTACATATAAAAAAAGGGGGAGTAGGGATTGGCTTAGTCAGCTATTTTTTTTGTGATAATTGAATCCTGGACAGTCGTGACCTGAAGTCACCTTGGAGAGTGGTGACCTCAAGCCACCGTTTGTAAGAAAGTTTCCATCTTTATCAATCAAAAAGCAGCCCATTTTCCCTCACTTTTCTTATTGTTCTTTCTTTTTTTACTTGTTCTTCCATTTAGTTGTGAAATATTGAGTGAAAGTAGTAGCAGATCGTTACGTTAACTTACACAAATTCCATCAACATGGATACAGAGGCTTTGTCTTTCTCCTGTTTTTAAACAAGTTTTTGTTAATGAATTGTATTCCTTTGATAAACTAACCTCGGGTTATTTTCAGCAAACAATTATTTAAGATCACATAGATCTTCCATTCCAAACTTAACAAATCCAAAATAAGAATATATGTAGAATGGAGCAACACCACATCAAGACAAAAGGGAGAAAGATTTTACTCATGTACATAATCTTATCACATTGTCACTCCAATATATTAGATGGATACCTAAAACCAAAAGGAGAATTAAAAAGACAAGAATGGAAATTTATGAGACCTAAATGACACTTTCGCTTCCTAAGCTCCAATCTCTTTAACAAACTTCCTAGCAAAAGATCAGAGTTTCGCATGTTTGATATCTTAAAGCTTAACTGCTTAAATAGTAATTCAAGATATCTCAAGCAAAAATTCAGATCTTTGACAAGTCTGATAGAGAATTAGAGATAAAAGACCGCAGTATCTTTTCAGATCTTCCAACTTAAGAATAATATTTAATAACAGAAGCTTTGGACAAATTTTAAGAACGACCAAAAGCAACATAATGGAAAATTTTAAATTGCAACTGATGCTGTTCATATTGTAAAATTATGACTATAAAACATGACATTACACCAAGTCTTCTCACTGGAAAAATATCAAACACTATTTTTTAGCAAATTCTCTACCTTTATACATTTCTCATTGGTTTATTTATTAAATGAGCATGATGACAATCATCAGAGAAACCCCACCCTTTCTTTTCTAAGAGGTGTGGAGGGAAACATCCAAAAACTGGGCATACAACAAGGTCAAAAGATGACAAACAGTATATGCAGTCTAAGTTAACCAACACATTTGTGCATCACACAGTTATAGTTCCGCATTATATATTCAATCAGCAATAGCCAATAGTAAGTCATAATCATACCTCGCATACGCCATCAGCATGTCTCTCCCACTTATTAAGCAATTCAGATAACGCTGCTGGTGAAAGATCCCTGGTCAAACACATGTTTATATATCCAGTAAGAAAATCAAATTGAAGTTTAAAAGTATCTCTATAGCATAATTAGAACAAAAGATTATTATATATTAATAAAAGTAATTACTCAAAAAGATTATTATATGTTATGGTTATAAGCGTTTAGCGGAAGCAGAGATTGAGAGATGTACAAATTGAAAAATAGAAAGATAATAAAGGCAAGATGAATAATAAAGAGGGAAACAATATTTAACATGTGAAAAATCCTCCAAAAAGGCCAAAAAGGCCAAAAAACCCAAACGGTGTAATACAATAATAATAACTCTCACTATGACTCACAGAGACACAGACTGAAGGGGATAGTAGATAAGGAGATAGTGTGTATATGAGTATCTCCGGTCTTTATAATTCTTAGAGAGCCAATAGATTATAAATAATCTCTACAAGCCAAAATATTGGCGGACACTCATAGAGTGCATTAGAGGATTGGAGCCCTAGAGGAACATTAGAGGATGTAGGTGGATTGCATGCTCCCAAATGATGCCTAGCATACCATATTTTTAATGGACGTATGGTGGTGGAAGAAGTCTGTAAGGCAAGAAATATCTACACATGCTCCTTATATTTCCACATAAATCTAGAAGTTTCATTAGAATTCACCAATGCTAGTATCTTCCACAATTTTCTGCCAATATACTAGAATCTCTAGAAACCTTGAGACATGGATAATTGGGCTGATGGATTTGGGCCACATTAAACACAACACAAGTATGGGCACAACTGGATAAATAATTATTTGAATAGAAATTCCTACATGAGATGAATGTATTGTGTACTTTAACATTAGGGTTACCTTTATATAGTGAGCTTTATGGGAAAGGGTGACTTTAATGAGATTGGGTGACTTTGACATTCAAGAACAACCATTTGTATACAAGTTTTTTACAATTACCCAAAAATCCTCCGAAAACATTATTTTGATATGCAAAGTACTTCTACCTATGATGAGGTCAAAATAAACAGCAAATTATCTTGCAGATATAATATCACCAATTGTAAGAAGAGATTAGCTACAAAATTCTAGCACATTGAAGTTATCCAACCTTATTGAAATTATTGTATAGTAGTCATGTACATGCTACCACCAACCTTATACAAGCTTGCAATAAAAAATAGAAAAATTTGCCAGGAATAACACCCCCTTTCACCAGTCTTCCATAAATGGAATGACCTTTAGATTATTTCAAAATGGAACAACCTTTGACACACATTTGCCAAAAATGACACGTAACCGGTTGGCAGCCACCCCACCGCCGGGAACTCCCCATAACCGCCGCCGGCCACAGCCCCCAACCCGGCGCCGGCCAGATCCCAACCACCCAGCTCCTTCCCCTGAACCACCTTCCTCCCGCCCTACCTCCCTCCCCTCAAAAACCCTCCTCTCCCGACCAGTAGGCACCCAAACCACATCCACTATGCTGGCGAACCCATTTCGCCCTTCAAACGGCCATCTCCACCCCCTTCCCCCCTTGAACCACCAACCGAAAACTCTAAAACTCCCAAATCGAGTGGTGGTTTTAGGGTTCAAAATCCCATCAAACCCCAGAACTCCACCTTCTCCGCCATTGAAAAAACCTCAAGGATCCTCTAGAAATTCAACGACCCAAGTCAAAGAACCCCCCCCAACAAAAAAAACCCATCTTCACAATCATCAAATCTACACGCTTATATTGCCTGAATTTGTACAAAACATCCCCAAAATGCCTTCTCTTCTGACGATTTGTTTCCTATTGTTCGAGAATTGCAAGATAATTTGATCCTTTTCAAGTCCGATAACGGCCTGTGATCCGACATTTCTAGCTTGTGTAAGCTATGGTGGAAGGAGGAGCTTGTTGGGATAGAATTGTTAATCTCTTAATTTGTCCCATTTCTTGTGTCGGTGGCTCGGTGGTCGGGTCTGGGTCAGGTTGGGTGCCACGGCTCTAGCCGCTGACGGTGGGGTGGCTGGTGGGGTGGCTCTTGGCAGGGGGAAGGGTTTTTTTTTTATTTCAGTTTTTTCTTTTGCTTTAAAAAAAATTTAAAAGTATTTTTAATTTAAGTTTTTTTTAAATCATTATTATTAAAGAAAAATGTTAAAAATAAATTTAAACTGGTTTAACCAATCACACATGTGACACGTTTTTTGTTCTATTTTTGGCAAATGTATATCAAAGGTCATTCCATTTTGAAATAATCCAAAGGTCGTTCTATTCTTGGCAAACATTCCTTAAAAAAATAATAAGAAAATAAAAAAGGCAAATGCCCAAAATATTTACTCCAACTTCGATATACTCCCTCCGTATTTTCTTTAAGAGTTACACTTTCCTTTTGCGACCATTTCTTTAAGTGTTACACTTCTTTTTTTTTTTGGCAACCTACTCAATTTAAATATTAGTTTTCTCTCCTCTCACGATCCCCACTAAAACCACTACTACTTCTTTAAGATTTATTTCCCTCTCGCATAACTTACTTTTTCAATAAAATATAACCCCACTATCTTTTCTTATAATTATTTTAATTTCCAAATTACTCCACTTACATCTTTTATATTCAAGTCAAATAATTTGCCAAAAACTATGTGTCATTCCAAGTGTAATACTTAAATAAATGGAGAGAGTATGATCATCCAAATCAGTACTCTCTCCGTCTCATATTAAAAAGCCCATTTGGGTTTATTCACAGAAATTAAGGAGGATGTTGATTCCTTAAAACTGTTGATTGGGATGTGCATGTGGGGTTAGAGAGAAAAAGAATAGTACTTGAAAACAACTCATCAAAAAGAGGGTAATATTGTCAATAAGTACAACCTTTAAATAGAAATAGGCTTTTAATTTTGGTTTACCCAAAAAGAAAAACAAGCTTTGTAATATGAGATGGAGGAACTACTGTTTTTCAGACTCCTTGCAAATTAACCATAAATGAAAATATATGATTTGAACTTATTTAATAATATCCTGACAAGTCCCTTAACTTGTAGGATCCACAGAAAGAGAAATCTTCTTTACCAACTTTGAATCAGTCGTATCAAAAAAAAATCAGCTTTCGGCTGCTTGGTATAACAACTTTTCTGGCTCACTTGTATCACTGTAAAGACAGACTAGTGCAGTAACTTCGCTATAGCTTGAACCCCTAGCACAGGGAACACCAATGCTGAAGTAAATAAGTATTGCCAGTTTACCACAGCTTGATTTTGTTAAAAAAAAAAAAATCATACAACCAAAGTCCACCTAACGTTCAGGCATATTCAATTTGTCAAGCTCAAGAGTCATGAATCATTAAGACATAGGAGTTTTATTTTGAGTTCCAATAGTTACTGGCTAATTACCACCAATGATTACACAATATAGATCTCGCCATAAGCAGTGATGAGATGTTTGGAAGGATAAGATGTACTAAAGTCAATACTGACAAGAACGAATGCTATTACAGGAGCATGTATCTCACTAATAGCATAGTTTGGTACAGATTATTGCAGTTTGCCGCCTTACTCATTTCCAACTAAGGATTAAAAGGAAGGCTAATCATCAAATAAATAAATCACAAAGAAATAAAACAAAGGGACAATACAAAAATCCCACACATCAGATGGAGAGGACACAGGTCAGCATAACACCTAAGCCACTTAGAATTAAAACAATAAGCATCCTGCCCTCAATCAGCATTCAATGCATCAAAAAGGATTTAATTCATTGAAACCACATCCACAACAACACATATGTAGCACTGAACATTACTTTCCTATATCATATGTAGGATTTAATTTACTTGGTACTTTCTTATCCCCCCCCCCCTCTTCTCACTCCACCCTCAACACAAATTGTACAAGTATAGATACATGTTAGAGAATGGTGTTAGAAAACAAAAATGAATAACACCAGTTCATTAGGTGGGTTTTGCAGTGTAGTCTGTGCTAGAAAAAGAAGTAGAATAATAGTTTCAAAGTGCTGAGAATAGAAACATATGATCTAAATTATGAAAGCAAATCTTTCACCCCCAGGCCTCACCTACATATGTCTTAACAATTTTTAAATAATGGCAACAGTACCCATACAAAAGAATGATCAAATATTACTGTGTTGAGTTCTTAGTACAACACTTTTGTTAAGCTAAGGTACAATTTAAGATTGATGAAAGATAGCCCCCATGAGCTCATATAAACTCACCTATGAGTTCTACATTCTCTAGGTTCATTTCTGATGACTAAATAATGCACAAGCTGATGACACATAAATCTTGCAAATCAGTTACCACTCAAATTAATTTTCAGAAAGATATGATACCTACCTTACCTTATTCACTGCTTTAAATATGTAAGGTCTTTTGGGAGAGCCACCATATTGACTAGATAAACACCCATTCCTTAAAGATCTCCCTTGCTTATAAGAAGTCCCAGATTTATGAACATCCGGATCAAGGGCATCACAATACAAATCTAACAGCTGCACATTTTGGTGCTTTCCAGCTTCATGTAGGCACTGCAATTAGATCAGTAACATCAAAATCTTTGGTTTCATAATCCCCAATCAGATCAGTAACATCAAAATCTAAATGCGTGAAGCTTAATATATGGTAAAAATGAGTAAATCCTACTATTAATGCAGAAATAAAATTGATTTGTGGGACAATCAATCATACCAAACTGAATTGGATAAAATCATTGTGAAAAGAAGGCACTAGAAAGTATAATTAATTAATATTTATGACGAATTGAGGACCCACAATATTTAGAGCAAATGTATACTCACATAAAAATTTTAGTCAACAGCCACAATTAACAAGACTATGTCTTCGATTTAAACAATATATACAAAACTGATGAAAGAAAACAGAAGGAGAAGCTTGACAGCTCACCTTGACTACTGTGATCCAGCGTTGGTGGAGTCTCTTTAGCTCGCCAATAGCATGGATCAACTTTTCACTGGTTAGTTCACCAACATCATCACTATAATAAGATGGATGAAATCTTAGTATCAAGAGCAAACAGAAAATGTAGAAAAAAAATTAAAATAATGGCATCCCTACATAGTACATACCCTCTGCAAGAAAGTTGTGAAGAATCTTTCAACATGATGTCCTGAATACACGCATGTTTCTCTTTCCATATTTCCTACACGTGAGTGAACTCAACAGAAAATGCAACGTTAGGGGCTTCGAAATTCCTAACATAGCATTAATGAAAGGCAACTCCAAGCAACACTAAGGCTAAATACAGTCTAGAATATTTGATTCACATAATAGGCCTCTGCAATAGACAAGACAAGATGTCAAGGATGCTTTTAGCCTTGATCAACCATGATCTACAAATAGAGTATCATGCAATACATGCAATTTTTCTGCTTTTACAAGATGAACAAGTCAATCAGATGATGATGCATATTAAATAATACCAAAGATCATGCTAATACTCAAAAATGCCTATTATTCTTGATCAAAAGTTTATTTAATAAAAAACAAGGTAGTCTTACAAATATACTTTCTAGTCCTTCTTTTCAAAACATCTCAGCAAAATAAATAAATAAATAAATAAAAAACAAGGTAGGCTTACAAAATAAACTTCGCCAAATCATTGACCAACGTTTACAAGTTTATAATGTGGGAACTAAGTTTTAAAGTGCACAAGATGCACCAGCAAAAGTCCTTGGAGCCTAGGCACAAGGCAAAGGGGCACGCCTCCACTTTATTTATAAAATAATATTAGAAAGAATTATGAGATAAGGTGAAAGGGCCATGTGATCGATACCTAGGGTTTTACAAATGGAATTGGGTGACATGGGTTTTCTCTCTCCTTAGTAAATCTGAATGTTGCAAAGTCACGTGGTGTTTTTCTTTTATTATCTACATCAACAAATGACACTAACAACATACGGCACAAAAAAAAAAACAAAAAAAAAATAAAATAAAACCCTAGATAAAAGCACATAGGCACCGCCTTTCATAGATCTTTGCGCCTGGAAGAGCTAAGGTTCCAGCTCTCGCGCCTTGCACCTAGGGGGTGTCTAAGCCGCACTTTTAAATCAAGTGTGGTAATCGAATATATTACAGTATTCTGAAATGAAAGAAATATAATTTCACAAAATAAGCCAGTTGAATAACAGTGGCAAAGAAAAAATTGTATATTATGTGATTAAAGCAGCGACAAAACATGACATTGTTACTTTGCAAGACGATCTTTTGCATGAATTTCTTCAATAATATGATCATTTGTGGAACAAAACAGTCCAGAAGAAAATAAACAAGACAGTTATCAATATCACCGGAAAAAAGAGCAGGTTATCATACATGCAGTAATATGAGATGAAAAAAAATTTAGATTATTGGAGTGGGTAGAAACCAAACCTGAAAATCATCTTCAGCATCTAAGTCTTTTAGCAAGAAGCTTAAAGGCTCGGACGAGAAAAGTAGCATACAAGATATCTGGGAAGGAGAGAAAAAGGGCAATCATTAAAACACACAATGTAAAACTTCAACTTTATAAGCTGCATTGGAATTAGGTGTTGTACCTTTAAAGATCTGATATAAGAAGTCAAGGTACCATCATGTTTCAGAAAATAATCTTTCATAAAAACAGCCACCTTGTGGCCAACATTGAACCTTGAACAAGGCCTTAAGAGAACAGCTTCAGCAATAGCATCCATTCTTTGAGCTGGAGATCCCAAGACAAATTTACAAGTGCGTAGACACAATAATGCATTTGAAGATAGCAAATTTTCTGGCGAATAAAGCATCGTTGCGACCCCCATTACTAGGATGACTGGTATTTTAACCACCCATTTGCTGGCAAAAAAAATGAGCAAGACTAAGAAACTTAGGTCCAATGGAAGCAAAAAATTAAGTAATTGAATACCAAAGTGAAAGAAGCATCTATTCATCATTTACATAAAACCAAAAATAATTAATTTCTAGAAAGGAAAAAGGCCAGCATAGAGGGCAAATGAGTTGATACGTTCACGAACTACTCGCGAACAATCTCAATCAAAACTCGATCATAACTCAATTATTAAGGTAATAAATAAACTTAAATAAAAGTCTTATGCTTGTTAAGTAAATGAGTCAAGCTTGAAAAACTTCTTTTCGACTCATTAATGTTCATGAATAGCTCGTTTAGTTCGTATGTGACTATGTTCATGTCTAATTATAACTTATTCAAAGGTCAATCAAACTCGAAAAAAGTACATGAAATATTAATTATTTTTACATACTTACATATTTTGTATATAAGTAAATAAAATATTAAATGTAAAAATACATCTTTTAATATATAATAAGAATTAAAATAATCTTTTAATGTATAATAGGAAAAATAAATTAATATATAATAATAAAGAAAATAATATAATAAGAATTATAGAAGCTTATTCAAGCACAAGCTAGCTCAAACACTAATACTTCCTTCATTGATTTTTATAATTCCACCACATTTCATTTCCTACCATCCAAAAATAATTGTTTCATTTACTTTTAACCTTCAACAAAAGTCAATATTATCCTTACTTATCACCCTCAATCCCTTATACGACCATACCCTATCTTTCCTTCCTAACTTTCTCTCCTTTACCGTCCCCTTTCATCCATCCCCATCCTTACAAACCCACCATGAAAGCACCAACCCATCACCAACAACAAAATTACCACTAGTGTCCAACTCCAACGACTTAACGAGATGTCACTTACTCTATCTCCTCCAAATCCGACCCGTTCACCTTTCTTGTCGAACATTTCAATCTCCTCCACTCAAACAAGTGGTGGCTTTGTGGGCTTGAATAGTCTCATCTCTCTCGTTGTCTTTTGTTAAAATAATGATATAGTCAGGTTTGATTCGTGAAGACGATGGGTTTAGACTTGCACAAACTATGATACTCTCTCTGTATTTTATTACATGCTCCACTTTCATTTTGTGGTTGTATTTATTACTTGATCCATTTCCTTTTGTGGAAACTTAAAACAAAATTTTACTATTTTCCTCCCCACGAGTAGTCCCCTCATATCATATTTTAATATTTTTCATATTCTCTCTCCTCCCCACTTATACTCACTTTTACTTTTTTGGTTTTTTTTTATTATTCAACCAACCCCACTTCCATCATATTTTATTACTTTCCACTATTTTTCCTAAAACTACACGGATGGAGAAATGGAGCAAGTATAAATTACGCAGGGAGTAGTAGATTCATGTTGTAGGCTTGGTTAAGCTCAATTTGTTAGGGTTATGAATTTTGGTTTGCGATGATGGTCAGTTTGGGTAGGCTCAATTTGTGATGATGGTGGGTTTTGTTTTGTGATGATTAAGTTTAGGTGGATGGTGGATGTGGTTTTAGGTGAGTTCAAGCAGTAACAGCGGTTGTTTTGTGAGTAAAGTGAACTTTAGTGGTATTTTATAAAAGTGGTGGGCGTGCATGGCGGTTGGAACAAGGGTGGCAGCAATAACTAGTGGTGGCATGTTGTCAACTCCTCAATTAAACCCCGCATGGACTCTAATTAATTCTTCTAGTTCCATGGCTCTTTTGTAATTTACAAGTAACAACAGCTACAAGACATTTCTTAAAAGTCGTACCATTTAGAAATGGGACTATTACGAAAAAAACAAAGGAATAATTCTTATGAACCTTAGCTCCAACAAACTAAAAATGAGCCTGACTCGGTTCATTTGCAGCTCATCAACATGAAGCAACAAATATTTCAGCTTGATTTGCTGCATTTGATTAACAAGAAATTAATATCTGGACTTGACCGATATTCTCCACTGGCCAATAACTATTAAACAACAAATTTGGAGGACAACATGGATTATAAGTAAACATGTTTTAGTATAAAGCTAGTTACGATAATAGACTGCAGACATTGCTTCAGAATGCAAATGTTATGGATTGTTTGGCTTTTGAAACTGTGAAAAATGAAATTTCCTCGGATTCGTTAAAAGTGAATGAAATTATATCTTCTTCTATCTTCCCAACAAAGGATGGGCAACAGCTTAAATACCTTAACATCAAAATGAAATTGGACAAGACGGAAGCACAGCATCTCTCCATGTCCTCAATGATTATGACTACTGGTGTAGACTCCCTTTGTCCACAGTACCATGATGCCAGAATGGACATATCAGCATCCTGCTCAAAAAATACAAAAGTAACTCTTAAAGGTAGATTGAGGCTAGAGAATCTTTTGCAGCATGCATATAATACAAGGGACTTACATCCAGTGTAACCTTCAGAAACATTCTCAATAAGCGAGTCAAACAACCACCAATCCCATTCTTAGCTGAGAAGTCCAGTGATGACATGTAAGCTACATGGCAGCCACCAGACTTCAAGTGATTGCCAAGTTCTTCAAAGGTAAGTTGATTATCAACAAACTCCATATTTTCTGCAGACAACATATACAATTTCGTTGTTGTAAACTTTGAATTATTTAAATAATTAAGTTGTTGTCACTTGTCAGTTACTTGATAGTCAGACTCATAGTAGTATATAATTACAAAGGCATCACTATATTTGATAATCTTATTAAAATTCATAGAGAGAATTTGGAATCTCAAAAGCTCCAGACCTCTATCTTCTTAAGAAAATAATCCAATATTAAAGTATGCAATCTACTTTAAGCAGGTTTTTCCTCTCTAATTTTTACACTAAATGAATCCCCTAAAGTCACGCATCCAATTTATTCTCTCTACATGTTCTCTCTCCAGGCCACTTGCTACTTAATAATTTAAGAAAAGTAGTATCCTGTAACACCATGTTAGCACAAATAAAGACTTGAGTAGAATTATTACTAGTATATACAAGCCCAGTGTAGATTTGTTTCGACAAGGCATCAAGGGCTATAGGATATGGATGAGTGGTTTCAGCATAGCCCGGTTCCCCAGATGATCTCACTGCTTTAAATGATTGATGAACCCAAGAACTCACTTCATTAAATATGCTTAAGTTGATTTCCTTGAGGACACCCTATAAAAAAAAAAATTAAAAAAAACAAAAGAAAGGTCAAGGAAGAATACCAATTTAGCATGAAGAATGGTTGCATAAATTATTTCAAAATATTTATACATAGAATTACAATCAAGGAAATCCAAATTTCAAAATTTCAACCTGCTTACTCTTATAGTGCAACTTAAATGAAAGACATACTTCCTCTGTTCTTTCTTAATCGTAACATTTGGATATTTAAACTATTCATAAGTAACTTTTGACACATTATTTACTAACACCATTTCATTCCCTTTCCAGTAAGATTCAAGTACATTCATTGTTCATCTCCTATCCTAGTTCTAATACAAACGAATACCTTAGGAAAGTGTGAGATGTCCAGCAAATTCTCTAAAACAATAACTATAAATTATACATACACATTCATTAAAAGGGGTGTGATAATTACCTTGATGGTGGTGTCAATGTTGGACCACACATAATGAAAAGCACTAATTCTCAAATTATATAGATAACGATCATCAAACTCATGCACAGATTCTTCATTTAATTTCCTCTTGGATTTCGGCCGCGACAAAGAAGAAGAAGAAGAAGAACAACCCCTGTGAAGAACAAAGAAAGGCTATCCGTATAGAAAGGAATACACCAATTAGTATCTCGCTTTAATTTAACCAGTTTCACTAATGAAAACAAAAGGGATTACCTGAATATTGTTTTCTGGATTATTATAATCAGGCTCGTCCAAAACGAGGTCTGAATTCATAGTTGAATCCTAAGATTGAAGGGTTGAGCAATACATTAGCAACCAAATTTGATTCAATAATCTCGAAAAATACATAATTTTAGGGATATTTGATTCAATAATCAAATTAGGCTCATAATTTTCTTTTCTTTTGGTTATGATGTTTCATATCATAGAATTTAGAAACAATAGTTGAGATTTTCGAACCCTAAGCTTAATGCACTGACAATTAAATTATATTAAATTAAATTAGATGAAAAATAAACCCTAGAATGTGAAATTGATTACAAAAAGAAGAAACAACTTACCTGAGAAGCTGCTTCAATGGGGTATACAACTATTAGAAGGCGCCTTGCGCTTCAATGGAGAACGTGAACTGCGCTTCAATGGAGAACGTTGAGTGCGCGCTGTAACTGAGAGAGGGAGAGGAAACTCGTAAAGTAACATAACAAGCCCTTTTTTTTTTTTCTTTTGCGGCAATTTCATGAAATGCTATTGAGGAATTAAAAAATTCATGAAATGCTATCGTATTTTCTAGAATTTACAAAATGTCATGCCATGTCATTAATGAGGTATTTTCGTTAGTTGACCGTTAATGTCCGCTGGTTGACCCAACACTTGTCACGTGTCACCTTGTAATTGGTTCAATTTTTTTTAAAAAAAAAAAAAAAAAAAAAAAAAAAAAAAACATCTTTCTCATTCCCTCTCTATCATCTTTCCACCACCATTAAAACCCACGTTCAAGCTCGAAGGCAAGAACCCAACATGCTCATTTCTTCACCATTTTCTACAAAATTACTATCAAAATGCACACAATCAAGAATGCAACAACATGGGACAAACAATTTCATCAAACAAGCATCATACGAGAAAGCCCCAAATCGATTTTTCAAAGGAGTTTTTCGAATTTTTCAAAAATTTGTATGAATTCGACAATGAAACAAGGATTATACATGGAAATACTTACATTGCAATGAGAAGAAGAAATTACACACAAATTGCAAAGGGGAGGGGAATGGAGTTTCGGGTTGTGTGGGTGGGTGGGTGGCCGAAAACAAAAAGGGGAGGGAAGGGTGTTTTGGGTGGGGTGGCCGGAAATCGAAAAGGGGAGGGGAATGTGGTATTGAGTGGGGTTTTCTGGTGGGAGGCTGGGAGGCTGCCGGACTTCCGTTCTCCTCTTCGCTGTGTTGCCGGACTTTGCCTGGTGGCTGCGATTTTGGGGTTTTAGTGGTTGTTTCGAGGAGAGAGAAGGGGTTTACGGGGATGGGGTTTGTGGTTAAAGGGGAAGGAGGGAGGACGCGACGGGGCAGGAGGAGGGGTGGCTGGCCGGCATGGTGGATTTGGGTGGATTTTCTGGTGGGGTAAGGGGGGATCGGTGGTGGCTGGGTTTGGATTTTCGTTGGGCGGTGGGGCTAGGTAGTCAAGGAAGGGGTGGGGGCTAGGTTTTCTTTTTTTTTTTTTTTTTTTTTTTTAGATTTTTTTTTTTTTTTGTTTAATTTTTTTTTTAAGGGGGGATTGGTGGTGGCTGGGTTTGGATTTCCGTTGGGCGGTGGGGCTAGGTAGTCAAGGAAGGGGTGGGGGCTAGGTTTTCTGATTTTTTTTTTTAGATTTTTTTTTTATTTTTGTTTAATTTTTTTTAAAAAACGAACCAATCAGAAGGTGACACGTGGCAAGTGCTGGGTCAACCAACGGACACTGACTGTCAACTAACGGAAATACCTCATTAATGACATGGCATGACATTTTACTGTTTGTCAGTGGCATGTGGTGAATTCTGGAAAATACAATGGCATTTTATGAATTTTTTAAGTGCTCAGTGGCATTTCATGAAATTGCCGTTTTTTTTTTATATATGTGCCTTTGTAAGGCTCCTGGTTCCGATGATTTCGGACCTAAATTTTTCCAGCACTACTAGTCTATTGTTGGTCCTAATGTCTGTAAAGCTATCCGTGGATTCTTTTTTAATGGTATTCTGCTACGCCAACTTAATCATACGCTTATTACCCTTATCCCAAAGGTTGATAGACCTACCAAAGCAAACCAATATCGTCCAATTAGTCTTTGTACAACCCTCTATAAAGCTATTTCCAAAGTCCTAGTTAACCATCTTAAACCATTCCTTAAAAAGATCATTGGACCTTATCAAAATGCTTTTGCACCAGACACCGCAATTCAAGACAAGATTCTCCTAGTCCAAGAAATATTGAACATTTTTAATAAATCTAAAAATAAGACAGGTTGGCTGGCTTTGAAACTAGATATAGAAAAAGCATATGACATAATAGAATGGGATTTTTTATGGGCAACTCTAGCTGCGTTTGGTTTTAATAGTACTTGGATTGGGTGGATAAAGGCTTGTGTTACTACAGTCTCTTATTCACCCATAGTCAACACAAATTTCTCTAATTAAATTATACCGTCTAGAGAACTCCGTCAAGGTGACCCTTTGTCCCCAGTTTTATTCGTCAAAAAAATTGTAGTGTAAGGCAGTTTTAAATAGAAACGGCATTGGTTTTAAGATTTCTTCTTCAGCCCCAATTATTCCCTACCTTTTATTTACTGAATATAGCCTTCTTTTCTGTAAAGCAACTTCTACTTCTTGTGCACATATTCCTAAGGTTCTATCAGAATTCTCAGCTCTCTGGTCAACTGATAAACTATCATAAGTTCTCTACTGTTTTTTCAAAGTTGGTTCCTTCATCAAAAAAACAAAATCTAGCAAGTTATTTTAATATGACCCCTAAATCTTTTTTGGGAAGATAATTGGGGGTTTTATTCAATTCCTTGTCCTTTACGAAGCATAATTTTCAACATTTGACTGTCAAAGCCGAAAAAAATGAACAATTGGTCTGCTAACACAGTCTCCAAAGCCGGAAAAATTGTTTTAATTCAAAGTCATTTGGAGTCAATGCCCTCATACGCTATGTCCACAACTCGTCTTCCAAAATTGACTACAAATTCTCTAGACCAGATAAATCGAAAGTACTTTTGGAAACAATCCCCTGACAAGCAGGGAATTCCTATGGTGGCTTGGGATACAATTTGTCAACCAAAGGATTATGGTGGCCTTGGCCTTCCAAACAGACGCCGTTAATTCTGCTTTTTTAGCTAAACTAGGTTGCAAAATTATCTCTGAACCAAATAATGTATAGGTTCGCTCTGTCACGGCTTAATATTTGTTGCAAAAAAACCTTTTTTGAATATTGCCCACAACGCAAAGATTCCTGGATATGGAAGAATATTGCCCACAACGCAAAGATTCCTGGATATGGAAGAAAATTCTGCAAATACGACCCCTTCTTCTTCGTGGTCTCCGATGGGAAATTGGTAGGGACAAGTGTTCTTTTTTGGTTAGACAATTGGTGTGCGTCTGAGAATCTTATTTCTTTGTGTAGTTTGGACATCTCTACTATTGCCAATTTGGATATAAATGTGGATCATTTCATTAAAGTAATAAAGAGTGGGATAGTATGGCTCTCTCGCAACTACTTCCTGATCATCTAGTTTATCTCATTAAAGGTATACCCCTTCCTGCTTCAGACATTCAAGATGAACCTTGTTGGGGTTTGTCAAATAATGGGAATTTTACTGTTAAATCGGCTACATGGCTAGCCCATAACATTCCTTCCCATATTAAATAGGAGTTTGCTTGGATTTGGAAGGTGGACATTTCACCTAAACTTCGTCTTTTTATATGGCAACTGTTACATAACGCTCTTCCTACATGAGCTAATTTGGCTCATCGTCATATTACTATCCCAACTTTATGTCCTTTTTGCCAACTAACCACTAAGACTCAAGCTCACCTTTTCCTTTCGTGTAATGTTGTGCAATCATTCTAGAAACATAAGGCTACCATCAACTGGTTGGGTTCTTTACCCCTGGATATTGGTATTTTTTGTTATTTAAAACTTTAAGAGGCAACTTCTCTTTGTCTTTAAAAAAGATACCCCTATGGAGTATTTGGAAAACCCGAAATGCCTTAATTTTTAAAAATACCCCTGTTTTGTCCTTGTCTACTCTTTCTCGAGCTCAAGTAATTTGCTCTGAATGGACTATTAGGACTCGTTTAGACTCTCTTGAGGCTACTCCTATTCTGGCCCCAACTCCTATTAAAATTGTTCATGCAGCTTGGTCCCCTCTCCCTATTGGTTTTGTTAAAATTGATTTTGATGGTTCTGTTCGAGACGGGTCCGATGCTACAGGTATCATTATTAGAGATCACTATGGCAATAACGTCTGTAGTCGTACGTTTAATTTAGGAATGACTACTCCTCTAATTGCTGAAGCTATAGCTCTTCGAAATGGGCTCCTTTTGGCTTGCGCCCATAATTTTTCTAATATTTTAATTGAAGGTGATAACTTGCTTATTATTCACATTTTGCAGGGTAAAGCTCAGTGTCCTTGGAAAATTCACCTATTGATGGATGATGTCAAAGAGCTTCTTCGTCATTTCCGCTGTGTGCACTCCAAGCACATTTATAGAGAAGGCAATCGAGCAGCAGATTATGTTGCTTCCTTGGGTCATTACATGCAAACCCATCAAGATATAGATCCCTTTTTAGATAGTAAATTTTCTTTTTTATTACTTCTAATAAGTTAGGGGTTAGTCTTGAGAGAAGACTTTCCTAACTTATGTGTACCTTTCCTTTAAATAAATAAAAAAAAAAATTACTATAGGCATAAGCAGGGGTGGATCATAATAGGGGCTTAATGGGGCTTGGCCCCTCATAACTTCTTTGAGAAATTTTTTTGATTAAGGTAAAGGCCCATTAAAAAAATTAAGTGTTTGCTTTATTTGCCTAGAACTCTAGCAATAGCCGCCTACTAAAGAAAGCTAATCAAATACAATATATTCTTATTTCCTAATCTACAATAACCCAATTCCCTAGAAATTACTGACAACCCAAACCCTTTCCTTCTTTTATGACGTTTTCAATACTTATCAACACAATTGATAAATATTTTCTATTTTTTCAAGGTTGCAATTCAATTCCAACTTCCAATTGATAAATCAGGTATTCATTCATTTGTAGTTTGTATGATCTATGACTGTACTTCGACTACTTTTTTTTTAAATTATTTTTTAGAAAAATTGATTTTCAATTTTTTTTAATTTATTTTTAATTAAATTTCTATGTTATATTGATCAGTTAAAGCACTAAAAAAACAAATTGATAATTTTAGGCGACAAGACGTTATGAAAGATTCAAAGTCAATAAATTACTCGATTAAAATTATAGAGTACTTTTTTGCCTTTGGTATGTTGTTCTTTATTTCTACTAATATCTATCAATTGATAAGTTACTTTTAACTTTTGATTTATACTTATGATAGAAATTATTGGCCCCCAAAAGAAAAGGTTTTAAGATCCGCCACTGGGCATGAGAAGCCCTTACACAACACCAACTAATGTCTTTAACGACATTTACCTTTAAGTTATTACAACAAGTGCGGACAACACAAAAAAGACTTACCAACATACATTTAAGCATGCGATGGACCATTGATAGAATGGGGGAAGTAGGTGATGATGCTTCGTGTTGTGCAAGGTCTTTTCGAATGTATTATATAATTAAAAGTCGATGAATGTTGCTTAGATGACGTAGACTGTTCAAAATCGGTATGTCTTATCCTAAAGGACGAAACCATTTCCAAGGATTTAAATGAATAATATCCTCTTGAGATCTTTGCTTCATGTCAATCACATTTCCTTTGACATATGATAAAATCATACCTTGTATTCTCATATAAGGTCATGATGTTGTTAGATATATTCCCTTTTTTTTGTTCCACCCTGTTCACCCTATAGGCTAATCCAGATTCGGGGCTTAGTTATGAGTGGTTAGGTTTCAGTTCCCTCCCAATTGTAGTTTGGGGGATCAAACATACGATCCTCCCTACCAAGTGCAGCTTCAATTACCACTATACCAATAACCAATTGGTAAACATATCAATAATAACTATATAATAAAGGCGAAACTAGGATGACACATGTCATTCTCTGGTAGAAAATTTTCCCACTATGCTTTCTTTTTTTTTTTTTTTTTTTTTTTGGTCAAATCTTCATACTTGTATTCATTCTATTTTGGCAATTATATATGAAGTATATTTAATATGCATTCAACAAAAACATTTAAAAAATTCAAATATTCATATATATATATATATATATATATATATATATATATATATATATATATATATATATCGTTTAGGGTAAAAAATACCCCAACACATGGTCCAATCCCATAGTGACACGTGGCCCAATGAAAGGGAGACACGTGTCCCTAAAGGAAGATGACACGTGGCAACCATAAGAGCACCTGAATGAGAGAAAAGGCCTCCTTACATCAGGAGGCCAAAATCCCAATAAAGTCGCAAAACGGCGTCCCCAAAAGACACATGTCCTTACCTGATTGCGCCGCCAATTTGAGCCTAGCTTTTTAGGGCACTAACCCCATAAATACCCCAATCATTTATGATGGGAGGGGTGGATTAAGACATATCATTCAAGAGCATTGAATAGCTCCAACTTCTCTCTACTTTCTCTCTCTACATTACTTCGTTTTCCAGTCACTAACTTGATCGTCGGAGGTGAATATTTCGTCAACTGGAATATTCATTGTTTTGCAGGTGTTCGAGTCCATCCGACCGTGTTCAAGACCTGTATCCCGAGGGATTCCAAAAAACCCTGAAACATTTGGCGTCGTTTGTGGGGATACATGTCTGAAATGGCTAAAGATGGTTAGACACCTGGTCCTGGTGAGGACGGGCACGTAGAGAATATCATCACAACAATAAACACTAGTGATATTCTGACCGTTTCATTTCATGAGGCCGAGGATCTCTTGGTCACAGTTGCTTCCTTGAAGGCCACCTTTGTAACACCCCCAAATCTCCTTTACGGAAATACTAGTATAATACGTATAATTATACCGTAAAGATAG